ATGACCCGATGTAATAAATCGCCAAAACGACAAGAGTTACACTATTGTCGCATTATCACACATACATACAGCTTTATGAAGACCACCAATCTTATACAGATTCACTACAGGAAGAAAGCATAGATGGAGCTTCTATACTTTAGGTAGCACAGAACCCAACAGCCTCCTGGTCCGAAGCATGTAAAGTGGTCACAGAATTCACCGTGAATTGGTTAGCATATCATTGAAAAGGCGAGTGTGGAATCATCCGCGTTTTTCGCATTAGTGATTAATTGTATCGTTTGTTTTCTCTTGTAGAATGGGTTTCATGACCAAAAGCTAGAGATAGTAATTGAGAAATTTTAGAAGAAACCTCTACCTGGAATCCTGATGTTTTCACACATTGTATTAATATTAATAGAAATAATAATTTTAGTAGTACACTGAGATGTGTGTGTGTGTAGGATATAGCAAATATCTAATAATGATATCATCATTTTTTACCGACACCGGAGTATTTGATTACTCAGTAATATCTGGGTTGAAACTTTCGATAAAAAATAGTCAATAATATCCGAAAACGCGAAGTACTGTAAAAGCTCATGCTCAGTAAAGATAAGGTTTGTTTTCCTTGAGCGACCTATATCCTGATGTAGTAGGTAAAAGTCATCATCAAGTTATATATTATTTATTTTTACTATTATTTTTCCGTTTATCAATACTCTTCACAATTAATCCTTTCATACTTCATTTCTAAGGTTAGAAATATTCGTTAATTATCCTTTAAATAAATTTCGATTTTTCGTTCATAAGACACATTTACGGTAAAGTTATCAAACTTCGTTCTACATTCATAAGCCGAATTATATTGTATTATAAATTATATATTTCACAGAAATGTAATTCTACTATCCTAAATGTTTATGTCTATAGTTCTCTCAAATACCATTTCTAAGATTCCACCCATCAGTTTGCATATATAAGCAGAATAATCCAATACAGTATTAGAGCTATAAAGAAGCGTTCTGGTGGATTAAATTGGAGAAACCGCTGGTTCACCACTGATGGGTCAAGCCTTCCCAATATACAACAACAACAACAACTTTATTATGACATTTCCGTTCTGTAAGGACTCGCCATATATCATTTTCATGGAGAAAAGGGAGAAAAAACATAAACAAAGGAGAGAAGGGAAAATGAAAAGGAAATCAAAGTATTCAACATAACTATACAAATTAACTATGGAAGGAAATTGTTCTGTAATTTTAGTTCTCAGAGATTACCTTGTTATCTGACGCTCTATGAAAGTTAAATAATTCTATCGCTATATATTTTTTCTCGGACATTATTCTGATTAGCTGAACTGGGTTCACGTAGACTTGGATAATGTGCCTTCCCGGTATTTTTTCATCGCAGTAAGAACAGTAGAAGTTTGAATTATTTTTGAAAGAAACATTCACGTTTTATAATGTTTTATACTTCACAGAAGCCAGAGTGGTAGTTTTACCAAGCCGAAAGGACAAACAAGCAATGCAGGGAAAATACTTCCAGGACAAAATGTTTTCTGCGTTAAGGAGCAGATAAAATCATCCCAAGAGGCTTCCATTTAAAATTGAATTTACTCCTAAGTAATGCGAATGGAGGTAAAAACACCACTTCCAACTAATCGAGCAAGTTTCCGCCATTTTTCCAACTCCACAGCAGCAACGTTTCTCAATGATACCTGTAAATTGTGAATAAACATATTTAATTGATATATTTTTTAAATTACTTTATGTTTCTAATGAAATTCTAGACATTGTACACAAACATTATTTACATATATAAATATTTAGAAATATGATTCATTGAGTTTACATAGATATTTATTAATTTAAAAGGCATATATTGGATCAAAATATCATTTATTTTACCAATATTTCAGTTGGCTGAACGCCAACCTTTATCAAGGTGTTATAACATTTTAAAGTGAGTCAATAACAAACTCAGCGCCACATAACGTCAATAGAATCCAAAATTCTGAACGCCAACTGAAATATTGGTAAAATAAATGATATTTTGATCCAATATATGCCTTTTTAATTAAAGATTTATTTATGGATTGCTCTATTTTCAAAATAGATATTTATGTGAAAAAACAATTAAAATATATAAAAAGGTCAGGTGTTGATATTAAAAACAAAAAATGGCATATCCTGACCAGACTCATGTGAGCATTTCTAGATGTCAGAGCGCCATCTAGTGGAACAAAAATAAACTAAACGTTTATTTAACTTGTTTCGTGATATTTGTCCAACCCAATTTCTTGATAAATCAATTTTGGTCGTAGAGGTACAGTCTACAACACGCTGACGAGGGCCAACAGCCCGAAACGCGTTGGTGGTTGACTTTTCTTGATTTATCAAGAAATTGGGTTGGCCAAATATCTCGGAACAAGTTAAATAAACGTTTAGTTTATTTTTGTTCCAATAGTTGGCGCTTTGCCATCTAGAACTTCTCATGTAAGCCTGGTTAGAATATGCCTTTTTTTAAATAGATATTTATATGAGTCAATATTTTGAGGTAAAATCGTTTCTTTTTATCGAGGTGGCTTATGATCCAAATCAGGTGCTCTGGATAAACCACACTCGATATGCACGTGGATGGAAAACCTTATGAAGTGCATTAAACTTATAAGTACATTAAATAACAACAATTTATATATTTGAAAATCGACACCTATGATTCTTTTTAAAAATAAACAATTTATACTGTCCTTACAGCAATGGAAAATTAATGGGAGGGCCTGGTTTGTAGTAAGGACAGTAGAAATTGTTTATTTTTAAAAATAATCATAAGCCTCTATAATAGTTTCGAATTTTGATAACAGATGGCGCGCTAATGCATTATAATTTATAAATTTAAATGAATAATACTGTTGCATATTTACAACTAGCAGTAGTAGCACTGATACCTCTCGTAAAAATGAATAAATTCCTATAGTTAATATAAGTAAACTATAGGTAGGGCTGGTTCATCGGTTGTAAAGTCTCCCAGCGTCAATTCAACATATCACTGATATCTATTGGGTATTTTTCTCATATAACCGGTACTTTAATAATATATTTTGAGTGAATATATATGTTTAAGGAAAAATATAAGTGAAGTACTTAAGACCTAATCGAATTTTAGCCACTAAATTGATTTTTGCTGAATAGCCTATTATGGATGGCGTAAGTGGAGAGGGGTTGGTACAAATTCTCTAGGAAGGTTTATTGTTCGAATTGATATAAAGAAATTCTCACATATTGTTGTGCTTATATTCTGGAGTGACGAAAGGAAACACGGAGACAGCTCGCCTAAAACTCTCATACTCTCATGTAACAACTATCAAATAGACAAGCAGAAGACTAAACTACCATATATTAAAATGGTATTTATAATGAAAAAAAATGACATCTATGTAAAAAAGGTAACTAATGTAATCAAACGCATAAATGCAAATTAGATTGAATAAATTAAACATAAAAGACAAAATTAATAAAATAGAACGTGGTTCAAAACTCTATGATTAACATTAATTGATATATAAAATGTAATCTGACATTTATTTATATGAAGTGAAAATCATCTCTCCCTTCTGGTTAACATTTATATTATGATACTGTCGCGTTTGACCCTTCGGGTCTTTGCGACGACGTCGCTTCCTCCGTCGTGTATCACTTTCCCGTCCTTTGCTCTCCCTCTGCAGCCCTACCCAGCAGACCACCCAAAGACCTCCGAGAACCCCCACTCGAGTAGATCTCCTTTCCTCTGGCACTATCTCTCGGCCATACCACTGGTGGGGGGACACGAGAGACTTACCAGAAGAGTAGCGACTGTGGTGTTGGCGAGAGAGCCATGGCAGCAACCGGCAACAAGACTTCTAACACTCCTTTTTTTATTGTCATCTTTAATGCATATTAAATATAACTCGAATAACAATCAACGGGTATTTACACTTTTTTACATCCCAGGGCCAATATCAAAGAATATTTACAATCATATGTCCCAGGAAACAGGACCACAGCAGTCGGCGATATCCACACTAGGACCAGACTAGAAACAAGCTGAAGCTCCATCTATTGGCGGTGGTTGTAGGTGTTTTCAGCCTCATAAACGCGACAATACATTAGCCCGCCCTCTATTATGAAAATTCGAAACTATTATAGACGCTTATGATTCTTCTATATATTTAACAATTTTCTACTGCCCTTGCTGCAAGGAAATTTTAATGGGAGGGCCTGGCTCCCAGTCTAATGGTAGATTAAACTGGCGAAACCGCTGGGAAGGTTCACTGCTGTTGTCTTAATTGCTTACAGCAATTAATTTTTCATTGCAGTAAGGTCAGTAGAATTTTTTCAAATTTTTAAAAGAGTTATAAATGTCCATAATAGTTTCGAATTTTCAAAACGCATATATTGCATCAAAACAATGAATATTTGGATGTATTCTGGGCAGAGTTTCTCAGATCAAGGACTGGGGGGTTATATTCTCCACAAGAACTGGGGCGGTTACGGGAGGATAGTTGATGAAACTTGTTCTGTGGCATATGTGCGGAGAATATCAAATCACCTCATTGATTCCACATATTTCATGAATGCCGAACATTCACTTATTGGAAGAGAGAGAGGTGTCGTTTTACTTATCACTTCCATCTTCAATACCAACAATATATTTTATTATAAAGAACATATTCCATTAAAATTATCTTTAATTCTATCCTGTGATACTTTCTTCTCTAATAAAAAAAAAAAAAGAAACGGGGCTCTGGCAAATTTGTAAGTGCAAAGTCGAAACTGCTTTTCACATGTGTAGACATGTGGTGCACTTACAATAAAAAAGCAGTCGCCTACTTCTACCCACCATGATTATCATGGCCTGTACAACGTCTACTAGGGATAAGCAAAAAAAAAAATTTTTTTTTTCTTCTACTATTGTAGATGAAGGAATTTTCTTGTCTCACCAACGTTTTATATAATATTTACGAACGGAAAAATATGTCCAGGGTAGCCTAGTGGACATGGCATCTGCCTGGTAAGCAGAAGGTTGTGGGTTCGATTCCCGCCCCTGGACACTTTTATTTTTCCGTTCGCCATTACTCTTCATATTTTCACCCTCTCATACTTCATTCAAAAAAGTTAGAAATGGTTGCTATTTCTCTTTTAAATAAATTTCGATTTTTGTATAAAAGAAACATTCGCGGTATATTTGCTATTTCGTTTCACCAACGTTTACCCTGTCTATAATTTTTGGCAATTAATTCTACAGAATATATAGAACTTAACAAGCTTGATGTTTAGCTAAATGGGTTTACACAGTGCCCTGTCGATTAAACTTGCGAAATTGCCATGAGGTATACCACTGATGAGCTACGACATTGTTTATACTTTGTTCTGGTATTAGTAGCTGACTATTGTAAGAAAGTAATTATTGCTGAGTTGAGGAGATTTATGTGTGTATTTAGGTCTTAGTTGAAAATATTTGCCATATATGTATGTTATATTAGAATATTATTTAATTAAAAATTATATTTCATAGATTCAAATGCTGTCAAATCGACCGCCAGAGGTCAGGCTTCCCCTATAAAAACTAATAATTGTTATTTCCCGATGGACGGCTCAAACCTTTTATACATTATGTAGATGAGTTTTTCATTTTTTTATTTTTACGCCTTAAGCCAGACAGTTCTTTTATCAAATTATGTTTTTTATATATTCCATAAGCTCAATTAAAATTATTTCTAATCTTCATTATTTTAACTATTTTTATTTTCAAGATTTTAACCACGACTGCATTACCATAGCATAATCCTCAAGATAATCAAAAACAAAGCATAAAATCTCTCATCTTTTTATTTATAACATGTATATCGAAACAAACCTTGTTATTTTCGAAATACATATCAGAAAATTTAGGGCAAATTTATGTGATTATTAAAGTGGTGTAATGAAAAAATTGGGATTATACTTGGCTAATCAGCGTTATTAACTTTCCCAGTACTTTGATACATCCAATCTAACAGACACGTGTTGCATAGTTTCATGTATTTACATATTTGTGATGGGGTTCAATGAACCTATAGATGTTGTAGAACCCCTATCTACATATTGGCTTTGAGCTCAGCTCAATTTAGTTCCTTATTTATATGGAAATATATTTCCGATAGAGGACGTGAATTACATTAGAATGATGCTATCACACACAACAGACATCTCATAAATAATGGATACACAATTATTTAATAATGCCTACGCCATTTTTGAGGGAAATTGAATCGTATGACGTCACAGAATTGAAGTATATTTTATGGATGAGAGGAGTCTGGTGTGAAAATTCAAACAATACAGGGTTAGGCGAAAATACAATTTCTTCAATGGTTGCGCCCGGAATTGATCACATTTAAAGAAAATATTTGAAGATGAAATGGGAATTTTGAAGCAGAAGATTGCAATAAAATCGTCTGCAATTCAACGATGTTTCTAGAAGCTTCTATCATGTAGGAATAGGATTAATATCAAACACAATTCGAAAAAGAAAAAAATAATCTCGGGAAACTTACACACGATAATAAATAGCCCATAAATCCTTTCAAGTTATCTTAAAATTTAGAAATATTTTATTATATTTATTTCAGTAACACAGTTCCCATGATAAATCATCTAGAAAGGAATATTCTTGGTTTGCCCTGGAGTTGTCTCTCATTGAAAGCTGAGTCGATCCATTTTAGACAATTTATATTCGAGGAAATTTATATTTAAAAATTATTAATTTAAATGCTTTTACGGTCAAATTTGAGTGAAAAAAAGGTACTCAATCAATATTGATGGTTCAAAAGTGCACCCATTCAAGCTGGAATCTCTAATCTGGAGTTTAATAGGCATGTTCCTTGATCAAAATGAAATGGTTTAATACATTCCTGGATTGATTAAAAAAAAATGTATCCCAAAAATATAAAAGCTATGTTTGACCGATTAATTTCCATATTTTAAATTGGATGACTATTCGGGACTGTAGTTTGAAAGCATATTGTCATCATCGACAAAGACAGAATGCTAAATTCAATCAAATATGAGTTCAGCCGGATGTTTTAACATCATTTATGTCCATAGCTCTAATTCTGCTCCCAACAAGTGACGCATGGTATCTCTATGATTCCAAATGTATCTACACATCGGGGATGCAAGGGAATCTATGCCTATATCATCCCTTGCTCAGTCGTTTGATTGAGCTAAATTTCTCTTCTGTATTTACACAATAAGGATGTATCTACGCATCCAATAAGGAGGAAATCGTTTAATACATTCCTGGATTGATTGAGAACATTTGTGACTTATGGGGTGTTGGGGTATGAGGTATGGGGTGTCACTTGTGGGGTGTTTAAGATATGAAATCTATTTTGACAAAGGAATTTCCACCTTCGTGATTGGATGGTTATTCTGGAATGTAGTTTGAAAGCTCATTGTCAGCATCGACAGCGACAGAACGCTAAATCTAATAAAATATGAGTTAAGCGGTATGTGTTAACATCATTTGTGTCCATAGCTCCAATGCTGCTACCAACAAGCGACGCATGGTATCTCTATGGTTCCAAGTGTATCTACACAATAAGGATGTATCTACGCATCCGATCAGGATAAAATGGTCAATACATTCCTGGATTGATTAAGAACATTTGTGACTTATGTGGGGTGTTTAAAATATAAAACCTATTTTTGAACAATGAATTTCCATCTTTTAAATTGTATGATTACTCGGGACTGTAGTTTGATCATTGGCAGCGACGGCTACAGAATTACAAATTAATTAAAACGAAGCAAAGAAGAATATTTTTCCAGGAGGATAGTGATCTAAAAAGACAAAGGTCACAACTCCCGTCAAAATAGACGTCAAAACTAGACGCCATCAATTGACCGTCGCCGCAAACTAGCGGCATCGAGTCGGTGACAAAGCCACAACACCAGCTTTGGCATACTGAAAAGTGTAACTGAAACCTTAGCCAGCTATACACCTCTTTGGCAGATTGTGAAGATTTCATTATATCCCTTGTGGATCTCATGGAATAAAGTCCGCCTTAGGCTGACGAGGGCTATTAGCCTGAAACCATGGTCTCTAGGTGGACGCTTTCAGTTTGACAAAACTGGTATTGTGGATCTGTCACCAACCCGAGGCCGCTAGTTTGCGGCGACGGTCAATAGATGGCGTCTAGTTTTGACGTTTAATTTGACGAGAATGTGACCTTTGTATTTTAAGAAGGATGTGTTAACATCATTTGTCTCCATAGTTCAATGCAGCTACCAACAAGTGACGCATGGTATCTCTATGATCCAAGTGTATATACAGTGTGAGATACAAGGGCTGTTATTCATATTTCTTGCCTGGCTTTGTCATTTGACATAGCTACATTTATTTTCTGTATCTACAATGCCCGTGAAATGAGACAGTAAACAGCTTATCTTCTGTTTCTACAGTTTTTCCTGCTTAATAGCGCTATCTGGTTTCAGCAGTGGCAATTAATCATTTGGCGTTTGCGTAGTTCACCATAACATCTACATAAGGCAGTAAACCACAAAATTGAGTTATTTTTAAAATGCCTTTCAAAAACACTATTGTTATTCAAAAGCATTTGATGTAATTTCAAACATTTCAATCATTATTGTTTGCAAATGCCTACATTTCTACTTCGCTTGTGTGGCATGGGATAACATTCTGGTTTATTTATATTCGGTTTTCAGTGAACATTCTTATTTATATAAAATTTGAGAAAATATATATTGTGTGTTTCATTCTATTTATTCCATTAGGACATTTTCTTAATATTCAATACTGCAATTGAAAAACATTTGGGAGACTTGGATCCTTAGTTGTGAGTCCTCTCCTAGCTGATTACTTAGTTTATTCTACCAGATAGACTATCAATTAATAAAGAACGGTTGAATTACTACTATATAGATGCATTTGCTAGTAATTCCTTGGCCTTGTATTAACGAAATTAGGAACAGAAAACCATAAGAGTGTTAGTAGTATGTTATCAATGTCAACCTGTCCCCTATGTTTGCCGTAGAAACTTGTAGGAATGAAAACAAAGTAAAATCCATTTTGCTGTTGCTGAAGAAAATTAAGAGTTTTTATATATTTAACTAGACGAATGACCCGGGCAACGCCCGGGTTTACATGATTAAATGTATAATTCAAACACATTAAACATGTGCCCGTTGGCTGGCAGCGAGTCAATGTCTGCGCCCGTTGACTCCCGGCGAGCAAGTGACTGCTCCCGTCGGCTGCCGGCGAGCAAGTGGCTTCCCGGCGCATGCCTGCGCACAGGGAAGCCACGTGCTCGCAGGCGGCCAATGGGCGCGCCCCGCCATCAGATCCACCGCGTTCTAAAGGGCGCTGCTCGTGAGCTATTTAGAATAATTTGAATATATAGTTTTAATAATTGATTTATATATTTTTTTAAAATAGCCTATCGTCATCCTCGTTTTTTTTTACCTATGTATGGAAATTTTGGTTTGTATTAGTGAACTACTGCGAATTTGTATACCGGACATACAGACCAACCAACAGACAAACATACAAACATTCATTTTTATATATATAGATAAACATAAAGTATAGCACAAATTTCTGTGTATAATGGAATTCATGCGCCATAAATATATCAAAACAATGCATTGTGTTCATTACCCTAGAATAAACTGATTGGTCGCTATAAAGAGAAGGCCTCAACAGCTACTTTGAGCAACATAAACAAAAATACCAACCTTCATACCATGATTTCGGGCTATGGCTCTCATCAGTAAAAAATGTCTTCTCTATACTGATGAGGGCCATAGCCTGAACTATGGTATACAGGATGGCCTTTGGCTGAATTTATCAAAGTTGTTGTTTAGGTGCATTCTATATCACTACCATTATATCTTGTACTGGGGTGATTGGATGCATTCATAAAGGAAGGATGATATGCCTATTTTATATACATATATTATGAATGGACGAAAATATAGTTCCTGAAATTCTGATAGCTCTTACATAATAGATGGTTTCTTCCAACATAACACTTTTATTTCAAAATA